CCACACATATACACACTCTTGAGGCATAATCTGTGGTAAATTCAGCTATTCAGCTGCTATCCTATATATATATACACACTTTTGAGGCATAATCTATGGCAAATTCAGCTGCTATCCTAAAGGCAATTCAAATTGACCACTGACTCTGTGGAAGAAAGATGACCTATTTTCTATTTTCTCCCTTTGCAATCTATACTACTGTAATTCTGATTGAGTATCACTATGAGGTAGAACTGGCTTGAGGACAGTGCTTTTGAGCTTCCATATGCAAATGATTCCTGAATTTGATGTTTCTTATTTGCCAGTCTCCTTTCAAATAGATTTATAGCCTCTGACAGCAAATGGAAAGTCACTGTGAGTCAGTGTGAACTCAACAGCAATGACTAAGTTTTAACACATAAGCTACATTTTAAGGCATAAAGAAATAATAGACACTTGGATCAAAGATGTAATTTTCCTCCTTAACAAATAAACTAGATCCCTCAGCAAATTAATCAAATGACAAATAGTCATTTTTATGGAATAAAAAATGATAAGGGGATCATTTTGCTTGCTTCTTAGTTTCTTTAATGCTTTATGTTTTGCATAGAAATACTGTCCTTGAAACATTTTCATTGAGTCCATAGGCAAAAGGCAGTATAGTTTGGTTCTTTATGTACACGCAGTACACTTTGGTTCTTTGACCAAACATTTCCGTTTTTTACAACTTTTACTAGCCAATGGAGTAAATACATGTTAAAAAATTTGTTCAGCATCAGTTGTAAACTAAAGTATACATAGAAAAATAAATATTTGTGCAAATATGACCCTATATAAGTCAATATCATAATCTTATACAAACATTAAAACAGCAATGGAAATACACCGAGGTGAGATATGCATATAGCAATTATCTGGATGAGGCACAATGGGAACTAGTTTTCGTAACCTTCCTTTCTGCCTCTACTATTCCAGTTGGTAAAGCATCTGTTGTTCACTAACTTAATTCTTCTTTTTTTGACAGAACAACGTTCTCTTCCTGCTCCAGTCCTTTAATGGATGCATAGTGATGGCTCAAAGAAATCGGAGTGTGGAAACAACCTTTGCCCTTTTAGGTTTTACAGATTATCCTGAGCTTCAGATTCCTCTATTCCTCGTGTTTCTGATTATGTACATTATCACTGTGGTAGGAAATCTTGGGATGATAGTAATTATCAAGATTAACCCCAAATTGCACACCCCTATGTATTTTTTCCTTAGTCACCTTTCTTTTGTTGATTTTTGTTATTCCTCCATTGTGACTCCAAAGCTGCTTGAAAACTTGGTCATGGAAGATAAAAGCATCTTTTACTTCAGCTGCATGCTGCAATACTTCCTGTCCTGCACAGCTGTGGTGACTGAGTCTTTCTTGCTGGCAGTGATGGCTTATGACCGCTTTGTAGCCATCTGCAACCCTCTGCTGTATACAGTGGCCATGTCACAAACTCTCTGTGCCTTGCTAGTGGCAGGTTCTTATCTCTGGGGGATGTTTGGCCCCTTGGTACTCCTCTGCTATGCACTGTTTCTAGACTTCTCTGGACATAATATCATCAATCACTTTTTCTGTGAGTACACTGCTCTCATTGCTGTCTCCACCTCCGATATTCGCATTCCTCACCTTCTGCTTTTTGGGTTTGCCACTTTTAATGAGGTCAGCACACTCCTAATCATCCTCACGTCCTATGTTTTTATTTTTGTGACTGTATTTAAAATTCGATCTGCCAGTGGACGTCGCAAAGCCTTCTCCACCTGTGCCTCCCATCTGACTGCCATCACCATCTTTCATGGGACCATCCTTTCCCTCTACTGTGTCCCCAACTCCAAAAACTCCCGGCAGACAGTCAAAGTGGCTTCTGTGTTCTACACAGTAGTCAACCCCATGCTGAACCCGCTCATCTACAGCCTGAGGAACAAAGATGTAAAGGACGCCTTCCAGAAATTAATAGACAAAAGAGTCCAATCCCACTGACTCAATTCAGTAGATAGTTTTAATCACAATGAACAACAGAGGAAGATTAAAAATGTTTCTAAGATTTGTATAGAATGAATTTATATGATATCTCTATGAATAATTATCTTGTTAATATATTGTGAATTGTTAAGTTTCAATGTTTTGACAATTCCAGAGGAATTGAATTCTATAATGAATATCACTAGATTTTTGTCTTTACAGCAACTATTTTATATGTTTTTTATTTTATTTGTATGTTCTAGTCTTTAAAAAAAGCTAACACAAATAATTAAAATTGTTGTTGTTATGTGCCATGGAGTCGCTTGCAACTCACAGCGACCCTATGTACAAGAGCCCTGAAATCTGCTCTATCCTGTGCTATCTCTGACATGCCTGCCCTCATTACCCTAGTCAGTCACTGTATCAATCCATCTCATTGATGGTCACCCTCTCTTTCTCCGTCACTCCACCCTTCCAAGCATGATGGCCCTCTCCCTCCTTGCCACATGCCCAAAGTATGTCAGATGCAGCCTCAGAATTCTTGCCTCCAAGGAGCAACCTGCTTCACTCTCTCTAGGATGAACCTATTTGTTCTAGCAGCCCATGGTATCTTCAACACTCTTCTCCAGCACCACACCTCAAAGGCATCAATTCTTTTTCTATCATCCCTAGTCACCACCGTCCAGCTCTCTGATGGCTAACAAAGAATTGTGAAGACTCTGGCCTGGATCAGGTAAACCTTAGTCTCCAGACTGGCATCGTTGCTCTTCAATATTGTAGAGAGGTTCTTGACAGCTGACTTTCCCAATGTAATTCATCTCTTGATTTCCTGGCCAGTGGTACAAGAGTGTTTATTGTGTGGAGGCAAGCAAACACTTTCCATTCATAAAAAATACATTATCTCACTCTCATTGGCATTGAGTCAGAACCTACTTATAACTGAGCTTCCAGTGGGTAACCAGGCTAGAAATTGCATGGAATAAGTTTTCAAAAAAGATATTAGCTATAGTCTCTTCAATGATTTGCTTTGCATTTGAGACCTGGACATTGGATAAGGATGACACACGAATTGATGCCTTTGTGTTGTGGTGTTTGAGAAGAGTACTGAATAGCTCATAGAGTGCCAAAAGAACACACAAGTATACTTGGAAATGGTGCAGCTAAAGTGTTCCTTGACTGCAAGGATGGCAAGGGTTCATCTTTCATTCTGAATGATGATTTGTTACTTAATAAGGCTTTTCCTTGGAAAGGGTTGTCATGCATGGAAAGTTGGAGGGTCAGTGAAAGAGAGGAAGCCCACAAAGAGATGGATTTACAAGGTGACTGTGGCAATGGGCTCAAGTGTGTCAGAAATGGTGAGAATAACACAGGATAGGACAAGATTCAGAACTGTGGTTCATAGGGTCAGTCACTATGAGTTGTACACTACTTTCTGGTACTTAACAACAATAACAGCATTTAACAATAATGAATTATAGTCATCTAATTTTTTGCATGACAAATATTGAGCTAAATTTTGAGGAAATAGATTACATCTGAAACTCAAATTAATTACCTGAAGTAAAGCACCATGAATGTTCTATATAATACATGAGGAAACAAAAATTCAGAGAAGTTGAATATATTGTCCAATAGCATACCTTCAGGAAGACACACAGGAGACCAAAAGTCTCAACTGTTAAGGACCCAGTACTAATTCAAAGATCACCAGTTGTTCAGTGAGAGAAATGACTGGACATCTGCTCCCATAATAATTTAAAATCTGATTGATGTCAAGTCAGAACCTGCTTACAGCTAAACCCTCATAATGATTAAAGCCTGAGACATTCTGTGGAATAATTCTATTCTGACTTTAAAATCTACTGAGAGTCAGAATAAATTTAACAGCACCCATCAATAACAGTAAGAAAAAGTGAAAAAGAAAGATTTATTTGGAACACCCATTTTGCTTTTTACATTTTTTAAAATTGTAATTTACATGAAATTTACACAGATTGGATTCCATTTATTCATTCATGAACATTTTTCTCTCATCCCTCCCTCAGTTTACTTCGTAATGTCTGTCTTTTCCAGATTTTTAATTATCATACATATAATATCTAATTGTATATTCCTTTCATATTGCTCTTTCGTTCACCTATTTCAGTGCAATGCTCATTATCTGTTCATTTTTTTCCTGCTTTCTCCCTCTTTCCATATTTATCTTATTGTTATAGCAAGGGACTTATGCAATATGCTTCCTTTGTGACTAAAACACTTCCCTCAGAATAATGTTTTCGAGACTCCTCCATGTTGCGAAGTCTTTTACCACTTCATTGTTTCTCAATGCTGTGTAACCTCAAGATGTTCTACCAGTAACTACAAATATTTTAATTTCACATGATATATTATACGGCTGGACACATTTGAAAATATTTGAAAGTTTAAAATACAAGAAAAGCACTTACCAGAAAAAGTCATGCAACCAAACTTTGTAGAAGCAGGTGTTTGACCCAAAGCACAGGTAACAAGCAGTACATAGAGTTTAACATACAGAGAGATAAGACGTTGGCATGAATCTCTGTGCACCTGAAGTGAGGGGAACACTTACTAATGATGTGAAGCTGACTAACATGAACTACACTAAATGGTCAATCCCATTTGAATTGTGCCCATTCTGTTTCAGTTGTTGTCTTAACTTTTTACTCTTTAGTGATCTTAATTTTATTAATATTATTATTAATAATAATTTCTTCACTGATACTTTTGGCTCAAGTTAATTTTATCAATAATATTATTAA